ATTTTTTCTGTTATTAAAAAAATAAATATTATTAATTTAAGCTCGAGATGATCGTTTTCAATCAATTGAAATGTATACCGAAGTAATACAAGATTCAATATTTGATTTACTTGATAGTGATAAACTTCGTTTTGCATCAACAACAGCATTAACTTTTTCACCAGAAGGACAAAAAAGATTTCATAGTGAATTACATGATCTTAAATCAAAATTTATTTTACGTCCTATGGAAATATCAAATAATCCTGAAGTTATTCGTCGAATTGGTCTTATCACAATGAATACAGCATTAGAAGCTGATATTTATGGAAATGTTAATTCAACACATGTTCTTGGTTCAACAATGATGAATGGAATTGGTGGAAGTGGAGATTTTACTAGAAATGCTGTAAGAATTTTTTTTCTCGTTAATAATATTGATTTATTTGAATTATATTTGTATATTGATAGTATAGATCAATATTTATGACGCCATCAATAGCTAAAGGTGGAAAAATCTCGGCATTTGTTCCAATGGTATCACCTGTTGATCATAATGAACATTCCGTTCAAATAATGGTTAGTGAACAAGGTTTAGCTGATTTACGTGCTAAAAGTCCAAAAGAACGAGCTCGATTAATAATTGAAAAATGTGCTCATCCAACGTATAGAGATGAATTAAGAGATTATTTTCAACATGCACAACGTGTTGCATTTGGTCAACATACACCACATGATCTCAAACAAGCTCTTTCATGGCATATTAGATTACAAGAAACTGGTTCAATGCATCCGGATCATCAAACAACAAAACAAACAATTAGTAAACATGCTGAAGAAACGGAACATCAAATCGATCAAAGAATAGCAATTAAAAACTAATCATATATTTACTTTGATCTAGGCAATTATAACTATAGTTCTTTTTTCAAACGTATTATAATAATAAAAATTCTTTTTTCTTTATTATTCGTGAAAATAAAATGGTCTTATAACGAGGCTGTTGACATATTATATAGAAGGATGTGGATGATTGTATCATCTCCACCCATACCTAAAACTACCCTATTCCATTAAAATCAAATCAGCTTGCTATTTTATTTTTTTTTTCAATTTGATACCATTTGGTAATATTGATATCGTGACTTCATATATTATTGTTCTCTATTGATGTTATGTGATTGCACAACACCAATGAAATATGAGAGAAAGTAAGCAAATATGCTTGTTTCTGTTCTCCTCGAGTGTCTCTGTTATCTGTCACATGTGACGCTTTCTTATTCACTATGACGCAGTTCTTATCCAATTTAGAAAATTTAGTGACAAATTCATGTTGTTCTATGCATATCATAAAATCGAAACTTGACTAGTAAATATTCTTTTTTCAATTTATTCTTGATGTGAGCTGAGTGAAACATGTAATCTTGTATGCATCAGCTGATGAATCCATAGAGATATTAAATCAGATTCAAATGTTTTATCTTTATCAAATTTCTATCTGAAAAGATATTTAGTGATTTCTTAAATAGACATCAAAATCTACAGATGAATTGGATTCCAATAGTTGACTTTTTCGTTGTGGATGTAGATGAAAAGAATGCCTATATCTACATCCAAAATCGTATTAAAGCATGTGATATAAGATATTTTCCGAAAACGAAAAACAAAAATCAAAGAAAACTGCTATGAAAACTTCTGTATAAATAGAAAGTAAATAAAAAACGAGCAAACAGAACAAAATAATGTTTTAGTTGCGACACGTACAGAATCAGGTACGTTGAACACAATTTTCTTATATATTATGGGTTAGCTGAGCTGAATAATTTAAAGAAGAAAATAAAAAACTCTTTGAGAGAAACAACAAGAACGAAAATAAATAATAAAATATTGTTCAATATCTCTTGTCTTGAAATGCATGTTTGCTATTATTTTATTGGATTGTTGATTGTTGTTGGCATATTATGTTCAGTCCATGCTAAAACATCTTTCACTGCATAGTTACCAATTGAATCCCCAGTTCCACTAGATGACACGTTTGCCTCATGATTCACAGATGTTTTTTGTTGCTTTTGACATTTCGAAGCTGCACCATCTTGAGTACTTGTTCCATTATAGATTGTTATCGAATCAAATACACCCGATTCTACAAAAATAGAACAATAAACGGTTAAATCGTGCCACATATGCTTTCTGACGTAGGTTTAAGAAAGAGTTTTTATTTTAAAAATAAAAGTATTGATGTACTATTGATAGTGTTCAACGTACTTCTTTTCTCTTCGTCATCATTGTCATTATCCAATTCATCAAGTAAAGGAACAAAAACATAAAGTTGACTATTACTTAATGGCCGATATAAAAACATGATAACAAGAAGAATCAATAAACTAAGTAGATGCCAAAATGCATTATTAAACTAAATATAATAATATGTATTAAACAAAAAAAGAGAAAAACAACATTTATTACCCAAAAATCTCTCCAATTCGTGATACATGTAGTCAAAAAATTTAATTTGAATGTCCAAGTCATAAATAAAAAGTTTGCAATAATAACAAATATAATTGCATTTCTAAAATGTAGATAAATATTTAATTTAACAATATTTTCTTTTAAACGTAATATTTGTGTTGTTGCAGTTAAACTCTTAATTATCCAATAATAACTAGTCCAATCAACCAACAAAAACAAAAAAGACGATAATACTAGCTTCTTATTTATTGTATCATTTGTTGTGTTCAAATGAAGCATTACTACTGTTGTAGCACTTGCAAAATAAAGTATACCCATAGCAAGTAACTTCTTTTTTTAATAGTCCTAAGCTTAGTTTAACTATTCCATAACCAAGTAAAACAATAATAACAAGCATACGTAATACAGTACGTCTTAAACATGAAATAACTTCAGTTGTAGTAACAGCGAAATGAACATTATATCTATAGAAATTGAAAAACTAATATTTAAAATTAATTAAGTTTTTTTCACTACTAACCCATATTATTAACATCATCGTATTCAAGAAAAAGTGCTAGTTTTTCAATCATACCAATAATAATGACTCCTCCAATTAAAAAATGTATTTTGAGTAATTCTTACCAATGCAAAGCACACGAAATAAACCATAGAATAGCACAAAAAACATAGATACGAAACATTACACTGTAAAAAACGAATGATGGATATTCATCAGCAATTATATAACCACCATGACGATTTTTCATAGATACAATCACATCAACATGAGGTTTAGGAGCATTTGAATCAATGAAAACTGGTCGAGAAAGTTCAATAAAATAAAACCCATCAGCCCATGTTCGTAATTGATTTATTGTTTGCTTCTTTAAAATAGATGCGAATAGTGTTTTTTTTATTATTTGATTTCATTTTCGTTTCTTTAGCAACACGCTGAAGATGAGTTTCATTTTCTACACATTAAATTTAGATCTTACAAAATAATAAATATTTCATTTTACTTTGATTTGCAGTAATCTGTTCAGTTTCTTGATTTAAAAAATCTTGTCTTAATTCTGTGACTTTTTCTCGTGAGATTTCTGGTCCAGTTATATTCGAACATTCGTCAATATACAATTCTCCTGCATACTCACAGTCAACTACTACCATCTTAAAAGTTTTTTGTTTCATTTGTTTCCATAAAATATAATAATAATAATGATACCAAATAAATTGTAAGTATTCATTATGTTTTGATGATGATGTATTCGAAAAGACACATGCATCAGATTGTGATGGCAAACATCCAACAATACGACCAATTCGACCGTTGATTTGAACTTTTGTTTTTCCATAATAATTTCTTAAATCCTTTTCAATTTGACCTTGAACATTATTTGTATTAGCAGATGGTTCACGGCAGAGAATTTTTAATTAAATTTGTGTGTCACTAGTTAAAAATCGCTATATTATCGAAGCTGATATATAAGATGACCAAGACAATGTTATTGTTCCATTCACAGGAATAGCTGATGAATATTTCATCAAACACAAGAAAAATAAATTGATGAGAAAATATTTCTTCATGACCATTAATTTGAAAAAACGTAAAATCATAATTAGCCTTGTTTTCTTTTTTTTTGACGTTATATGTTACTTTTCTTTTCGGATGAATCATTTCGGAAAAGCATTCCATGAGTGATTACTAATCGATTGTTTTTCGACTATCATAAACATATGAAAACATTCGATTGTTCTGTAATATTCACAACAGACAAGCAAAGACTTATTAGATTCTGCCCTAAGTATTAACAATTACTCTCGAATAATTTATTTATATGAAGGTCACTCGTTTGTATTTCATTAGTGGATTTTAAATTGCCAATAAAAAGCGACAATGAAATGGCCACATTATGCTATTGATTTTCTTTACATTTCTATTTCAACTTCCTCCTTCAATACGAAGACATTGACACTGTGTGACAAGGGTTAAATTGCATGATTGAGTGCATTGTTCATCATCGAACCATTGCTTAGTGAGAGTCTCATCAACTATTTTTAGATCAAGTCGACGAACAGATAAACTTTTGATGTTTACGAGAAACTTTTGGGACCTTGATCGGCAAATAAGGATTAATATCTGAAGAGGAAATGTACGATCAATAATGGCTTGTATTTGAGATAAAATAGAACAATCGTCAATCTTCACGGGTGTGGTAGAAAAGAAGGCCAATATCCATTTCACACCAACATCCTCCCCATTGTTTTTGGGAGTGGGGAGAGGATTAAAAAATTGGGCGGAAAGTCTAATTTTTTCGAAGAAGCTCTAAAAATCAAAAGCTCTTCGTTAGTGACAAAGACTAGTAATTATAACTTATTCACTATAAAAGTTTTTCAATATAAAATTATTTCGAAGCCAAAAAGCACATATGTTTTAATAATAAGTCTTCTTCACTGCTTTAGATACATACACGAGTATATGTCACTTAACAGAGAATGACGACACATAACAACAGGTATGAAATCGACTTTCTGCTAGAAATTTCACAGAAACTATCTTTGGTTTAATTTTATTCCAGTAAATGCAGGAGTTTTCTGCTGAACTGAATTTTAAAAATTGCGCCGAAAGTATTATCAAAAATATCGGCAGAAAGTCTGAAATTTGGGTGAGGGGAAACTCCTCCCTGTCTCACTTCCCAATCGCGAACCTTTTTCTAGAAAATAGACAGAATCGCTATGACTGAATAGTTACATTTTTCGATGCGTCTCCACAGGATAGTGTGTGCAAACTTCAATACCATCAGCCATGGAATGAGTCTGGACAAATCACTAACGGCTATTTGCCTCGGATTATATATTCTATAACATGCTGACTATGTTGTGACACGTATCTGGCCTATTTTCTTTCCAGAGCTACAGCTAGTCATAGCTGTAAGAAAGAAATCGAACTAGTGAATCTAACACAAGGTATCTGAAAGCGATGAATATTTCTTCTTCCTTCTGATGATAGAAATATTAAAAATTCGATAGTTTAGTTAGATCTCAATACGAACTAAAATTCTTTTAGTATTTCTACATATTAGAACACTGCGGTACCGAAAGACAACAAATCATTGCAATCGGAAGGGAAAGCAGAAAAAACTTTATGCTAAGTTTCGACTGATATTATACGATCCTGTACAGATCAAAATTTCATAGATTGTAGTCAAACAGACCAAGAGTGAATTCAGATTTTTTTCAATATTATCTACGTATGAATTTGAAATTGTTCAAGCTTTTTGCTAATCTTTTTCATAGAACAAAACAGGTAATAATTTGGTCAATTAATGTTGACAATATATGATAATAACTATTGATGATTTTTATCTCGGATATGTCTTTTTTTTGTTGTTATTCATATATTCTTAATTTTGGAGGAATTAGTAAGAGATGCTCAGTTACTTTTAAAAATAAGCTCAGAAAATTGATTTTAATATAAAAACAATAGGGAAATGAAGTATATATTTTTTGGATTGGGTTGGGTCAAGAAATTTGAATGCTAGCATTGATTACTAGAGCTATAAGGTAGTTGTTTTAATTTCTCTTTGACTTCTACAGTAAATTTAAAATAAAACTTTGAGCTAGTTTACAATGATGAAAGTGAAAAAAAAGTCAAAACTGATATAAGGTTGTGGATGTGGATGAGGCTTCTGTCTTTATCCAGACACATACCTGGGACCTGTGTCCGAGAAATTTGGATCCGACGTACTCTAGTCATCTAAAAATGTGTATTGAGAATATAAAAGTACGGCTCGACCGAGTCTGGATCTGAAAATTTTAGACCAGACGGGCTCTATATATACTTCATATATTTTCATAATAAAATAGATCTCCTTGTCTAATCCAACGCTAAGCTAGGAGTTATATTCTTTCAATTGAATGTGCAAAAATGAATTTCATTTATACACCATCAACATTTTATCTGAAGAACTATCTCAAATATATATATTCAACCTTTAAAAATTCCTACATATTCAGAGGTTCTTCCAATCTAATACAATTCACTAAAATCTCTTTTTTTTCTGTTCACATTTCTTATTTCTCAAAATTACCCTTATAGCATTGGTTAAATGAAATTCTAATCGATATTAAAACATTCATTCATATTGCACGTTTATCCATACCGATTGTTTGACATATGTTGCCGAGCGCATCAATTATAGTTTATTTGCGACAAATCTCATTGTAACTAATGAGTCTTACTTTCAAATTCTATTCAATTCGATTTAAATTTCTTAATTTTTGTGTTACATTTCGCAATTTCATAGATCTATAAGAATTGATAAAATTTTGATCATTTGAGGCCATGTTGCATATACTAAGTTACCATCTGATGTTCATTGACGTCGTCTTCTTGTTGCTTATCCAGTCACTACAATAGGTTCAATACTTCATATTGGTCTTGAAGTATTATTTAAAGAAAATCAATGTAAACAATCAAATATGATTTTCTTCATGCTACTAAAACTACTGATTATAAGGTAATTTTAATTTTCTAAAGTGAAAAAAGACTTTTTTTTGTGAAATTCGCATATATTTTCGAAGAAAATATTCAATGCAAGTTTAAATTGAGGGTTTTTGTGGCTTCTCCTTAGACGTTAGCGACCAGATTTGAATATCAGATACCAATGAGCATATTTTTCCTAGTAACGAGAGGAGAGACGACAACAGAAAAAGGCACTTAATGACATTAAATATAAGACTAGGCTGTTCTAAAACATTTCAAAGCCTTACTCGAAATTTGAATGGCTGAAATACGTTTGTGAATATTTTAAATAGTTCAGTTTTTTTATTGTTTGTGCACATGAAGATTTAAATTCCAGATATAAAGAATAATAGGTAATGATTCATTGATTTGTCATAGTTGTCATATGACCAACATAAAAACAGTGAATTGATAACGTTATATCTTTAGTAGATGCATACAGAAGACTTTTTTACTAGTTAAATCAATATTTAAAATCGTAATAAAAAAGCGAAATACAAAAATGAAAGGCAACAAGAAAAACAACAGAAAAATAGAGCGCCAGTGAATCGATCGTTTCCTTGGCGACCGTTTATTCTTGGAAAATAGCGATAAAGTACTAGAAATTTTTTTACTTAATCTATTCTGTTTTAGTATTATGCAGCTAAAGAATACCTATATGAATTCCACGTTTTAGCCCCAAAGAAGCTGCAATGAGAAGGTTTTTTTCTTATAGAAACAAGCATCAATTCAACAACAAACTATTCCAATTGGTTTATAAATCAAGATGTGATTAGCATTGAATTAATGTGTTTTATTATGTTTATTTAGTATTTCTTATACCTTTACTGGGTTGAATTCGGTCATTATCAACAGTTGATAGACATGACTAATACATGGAATAGTTTTTTCTTATCATAGATATGGGTTTTGAAATTGATGCTAAATGTATTCTTGAATATTTAGTAGTCAAAAATAAAAAAAAACAATAATGAACTTGTAGAAGATAGAAGGTAACACAAAACAGAACATTTTTTTTCTATTGTGTGGGTGTGGGTGTGGGTGTGTGGGTGTGGGTGGGTGTGGTGTGTGGGTGTAGGTGTAGGTATGGTTGTGGATATATCCCTTATCCACACCCACCCACACCCACACCCACACCCACACCCCACACCCACACCCACACCCACACCCCACACACCCACACCCACACCCACACACCCACACCCACACCCACACCCACACCC